GTTTTATTTGGATATGGGGAGAACGGCAGTATTATAATAATAGTTACCAACTTTATTCTTCCAGCGGTATAAAAAACTAATAAGAAATTCACGTTTACCGCCGCCACCACTTCTATTTCTTTTTATATACAGTAGTGAACAAAAAGATATGACATTTCGTTTCTTTTACAGAAGTATTGCTCGGCGTCTAGTTGATTGATTCATGTTTAAGTAAGCATCAGTTCCTACTCTATAAATATGTTAATGTAGTGTTCCATTACAATTTTTATATCTGTATCACAGTTCGAAGAAAAGTCACCCACGTAAAACCGAAATATCATATCTTTTTGTTCACTACTGTATATAACACTGGGTGCAGCATTGGGGATACGTCTCTTGAAAAAACATATCCTCTTTCGAGAATGAAGCCATCCTTCAAACAATGACGGGTCTCCATGTTGCATGAAACAGAACCAAAGATGTGTGCATTGTTAATAATGCACACACCCTTGTGCATTGTTGATAATCTGCAGAATCGTGAACTGCCAGCTTTTCGACCTGCTTTCTTAAGAAGTAAGTCACATAAGCAGAATGTTCCATATCAGAAAATGACAGACAGCTTCTGAATTACTGGAGTAAGTAACATAAGCAAAAATGTTTCATATTTGCATTGAACCATGGCAGAAATAGCCCATGCGAATGGCAAAACTCAAGACTGGAACAATGTGGCAGTCACTGGTAGACAGAATGGATGGATGGAGCTACTTGTGCGGAATCCCTATGCGACAAGATTCACAACCTCTACAATACGAAGACTGGGTGACCCCCGGACAAGAACCACAAGAAAGAAAGCAGTTCATGGACTCGGCTCATGCCTACGTCAAGTCAGCGAACCTGACACAACACATCTAATCTCACCCCACCACCCCCCCTTATCACACCTTCCATCCCCCATCCCCGCCAGACAAGACGACTCTAGGCAAGCTAGCTTTGTTTTCCTTTACTCTTAATAAACACATTTATTACCACTACTACATAACTATGAGTTATATCTGGATCTGCATTCAATCTGAGCAAAAACCATTGCAGTAATACTTCACATATTCTCTAGTGGTACGTGCCATGTATGACCCACCATTCAGCAAAGGGGAAAAAAAAAAAAAAGGTTTGTAATTGTTTAAAGTACATAAAACAGAAGGGAAATGAGCTTGTGCTGAAGGCCAGGCACCCAAAAGAGGTGCCCCACATTTCTCATTCTGCCAGTGATTTCAGGGGGCCAAATATGGCTTGCCCTCGCTTGTCTATGCAAGAGATAACCCGCCGCCAGTCTCGCTGTCCACTGCAATGGTCCCGTATCCGCCACACCGCACTATACTCGGTGCGAGTGGAACCGTGGGAAGTTCGACAGTTGAGCCTCGCCACATCCTGTAGTCATGCCACATCCTGCTGCGGGTTAAGGAAAGGCAGGACAAGCTCCTCCTGCAAAGCCCTCCACTCTTTCCACTTTAGCGAGCGAATGCTGGAGAGGAAGCGAATGGGCTCGCCTCCTCTCCAGCTTTCTGCCAGTGTTTGCTCGCTAAAGTGTAAAGAGGGAGGGGTTTTGGAACCTGCAACAGGGTATAGTGCAGAAGCCAGTAAAGAAAACGGTGCCAAGAGGCTACAGTAATGTCTCGTTAATGTGGACACTTCCATTCCCCAACAAATCAGCTACCAATGCGAATGGTCCATAACAATGAGATAAAAATGCACGTATTTACCCAGCTCGTCCCCGAAAATAGTGCCTGTATAGTGAGGCACCCATATTAGCGAGAAATCACCGTCTGTTTTGCTTAAAAAATGATTCTGCAATTTTAAATTCTTAAACTTCCGTTCCCACCAAAACTGGCATGCCGCCCGATACGTCTACAGTTTTATACAGATTGGGCCTGACGCCAGCAGAAGCATGCAGGCAGTTTACTCTCTACTCGTCTGCAGCTTGGAGTATGACAACGGTGACTGGAGTCCAGTTAGTCTAACAGGGTTGTGCTGTCATCTAGAGTTGTTGGCGGACTTCCAACGGCAGATGACTTGAAAGCGTCACCTTCGAGAAAACGGCCGAGGGCTGTGTCTCCTCCGTTTACAGGTATCTGGACTATAATGTGTCGCAACTCAAGAAGAGCAGGAGACGGAGCCCTTTCCCCTTTCCACATTAGCGCAACAAGTGCTGGAGTCCACTCTCCTCCCCTCCAGCATTCACTCCCAAATTTCACAGGAGAGAAGGATCTCCTCTCCTGTTCTTCCGAGTTACAACTAACTATAGCGTGTAGCACCGAAGGTGGGAATTCGTTGACAATCGCGTTAATCGGTGAAAATTACTCGGGGTTGTTTGGGATCGACATTTTTTGAACCCGACGCAAAATAGTGCCTGGCCCATGACATGGGCCTCTCAACTTCCTGACGAGCATGCTGCTAATGTCCAATTCATGAGTGGAGCAACTGAGACAAGGCAGGCTAGCTTAACTCATCAGTGGGCTCGGATCCATGAGAAAGAAGAAGTTAATCAAAGTGGAATATACCTGCACTTCTGCCCTATGCGTGGTCACGCACCCCGCAGCAAAAACAGATCTACCATTTCTCCGAATGTACATATGGTAAATAGTTATAAACAAGCAGAACAACAGTAAACAACTGTACCAAGAGTTCAGCTGTCAAATGCCAGCACTCCGCTGCATGGATCAGCAAACAATCGACTGTGTCACAGTGGCCCTCGCACTTCTCCGGCTCTTGCCCGTACACCGTTTCACAAAATGGCCTCAGTTGGCTGCTGGTGCAATTGGCACATGCTTCTTTTGCTTGCCGAGGTAGCAAGCATGTGCCGCTGGGACACTGCAAGAGCCGCCTCACACCCCGGTGATGAGACAGCTTTTGTAAATAACCTGTTGCTGTTTCTAGGGGTGGCATCGTTCTTTATTCTGCTACCATTACCGCGAGATAAAGCATAAAATGTAGTGTACCACTAATGAGTTCACCGATCAATGACAATGCAGAACTATTGTTCCTGTAGTCTGTCCATAATTCTCACTCTCCACTCGGCTCACCGTAAATTATGCGGGAATTGAACAAAACGACGTTCGTAATGCAAAAAAAATTAAAAAAATAATATGGTAGCCTTCCACATGCTTGAGCATTGGCAGAAAGCCAGCCCTCACCTGATCTCGCTTCTCAACGCCATCCCTTCTACTGCTGCAGTAAGCCGCACATTGGCATTGTCCGTCAAACTATGGCCGGATTGCGTCTCGTCGGAAAAGTGCCAAGGCTTGTCATCAGAAAGGGCAAAGCATTTGTCACTTTCAAGGAAGAGCAGCTGTGTGTTTTCATCAGCTAAAACAGTCCTTCCCGATTGGACGTAGTGTCACTCTTCATGGATTTAGAGAAGTTCTTTTATTTATTTTTTTTTTCTTTGATAATGATTTTATTTTAATGGAAACGGAAAACAAACAACTACGGGGCCCGAAAGGGACAGAACAATACGAGTGGCAGTGCTGCCACCTGCCAGAGAATGCACAAAACAAGGTCCAAAACAAAAAAAATACACGAGTCAGACTCGTGATCAGACTTTATAGTATTAAAATATTAAAAGGGCCACACGTGTGACACTCACGATTAGTGTGTTAATCACAGCTGCATTTCTCCATAAATCATTCAAACTTAGTAACAGCCCTTGTTGCTAAGTTCGAATGAGTGTGCAAGATGAATATATTACCGGCTACTCCGAGCTACGTTGCACTACCATGCTGAAGCCCGATTCATTACTGAAATCTCATTAAGAACAGAGATCCACCAACAATAGGTGAAAAAGTTAGCATAAGATGTAAAAACATTTTCTTCTCTAGAGAAAACTGCTAATAAAGTCGCAGGTTGTCGTGCGAGTTCGATGTGGACCCTATTTCCTCCCGAGATTGCGCCCCCAGAAGATTTTTGCTCCCTCCGTGGTAGGCGAAACATCAAAGGACTTCCTGTATTTTTTCTTATTTATTTCAGAATGCTATAGGTCCCTCGAGCGACTATTATATTAGAAGGCATAAATGCAGTACCTGTCAATATACGGCCAAAGGAAAGGAGCACATGGCATGACAAGAAAACACTATAAAATATTACCAGCAGATCCTTTGTGCTAATCTGGCAGAGAAAGATTTAAAGAAGTTCAAGTTTACGGAAACCTTCTGCCATCTTAAGGCCGCCTAATGAGAACTGGAATATGCGTAGGTCAAGGAATTCACCACCCTGAAGAGTTGGCCTTTTTATTCGGAAAGGAATGCAAAGCCTGGAGTTGCACGACCATAAAGGGGGCCTACCAAGTTTTTCGTTGAACCGTGAACTCCTGACTATTATTCGGATAATCCAGGAATATTCTAAAACCGCCAATATTATAATTCCTTTCCACTACCTTCTAAGGTCATTGTTAAAATGAGGTTCAAGCCGCATTTTTGTCACGTGCCACACTTGCAAAGGTTAATTTACTGCATTGCTTCATACCATTTATGGAGGCTGAGAACATTGCTGCTTTGGAGACAATGAAACGGGACCTAATACCTCAGAAACCTATTTTCATACTCTGAAGAAAATTCATAAAGCCTTCTTGACATCAGCGTTTAGGTGAACGAAATAGATGGCTTTATGCATAAATGGATGTTCACCAAAAGTAAATGGCAGATTAATCCGGCAAACAAGGTCACGCTTTACATAAATATATTACAGGAAGTGCTGCTCGCCTACAGTGTGCACTTTAAGAATCATTAAAGAACCTGCATCTAAGTTTCAGCCTGTTACTTATGGAATATATGCCCAACCGACATCACAGATCAACTACCAGTTCATGTAAAAACAAATCTATTGATCCCATTCCCATTATTAAAGAAATTTTGCTTCCAAACAGCTCCTCGTTGGGGTAATGATTCGAGTCCCTCACACCGAAATTCTTACTTGTTCACTTGGACCCGAGTTTTGCCATCAGTCAGGTTATGTTGCGACGGAGTGTAGCCCAAGCGTGCAAATCGTTTCACGATCACTTTTACGTTTCGAGGAGTGTCAACGGTGGAAAGATCCGAGGGAGTCTCTGAATTAAGACAACATTCAGGGTGGTTCACACGGCAGTGGCAAGTAGGTCATACTTTGGGGCATCCAGACACAATGACAATGCTTCAGAAATTGTCGGCGACGCTCGCATGCTAGTTGATTACGGGTCCACTCATCCCTACGTCATGCCACTGGCTCGTGCCTCTTTGGTTGCTTCTAATCGGAAGTGACCAGAGAGCAGGAATTCCTGCAGCGGTGGCGACCGACAGAGATAGGAGAGCAGACCAACAGGAGCAGACCAACAGGACGGAGGTTTGATGGTATCGGTTTGGTAGCACGAGCTCAATTCAACGATAGGCAGACATCTCGTGGAGTCGTTCGGTGAATCTTTGTCGCCTTGACGGGTAAGTTGTAGGAAAACAAATGCGCCGCTGCCGATGGCGGCGATTCAATGAAACAATGTCGCTGGCCTAGCTGCTGCGAATGATGAAATAAAACTGGTGCCGACGGTGCAGAATCATGCCACAGGAAATGGGCGCAATCAAGAATACTTTTGTGGGCAAATACACCTCGTGTTGGACATTTTGTAAGGTATGCTGCTTTCCGAACGAATGGCATTGAATACTAAACAAGGAAATGAGATTTTAACTTTACCTGCTGCTTTGCACTCAGAGTACTTCAGGAAAATCTCGGCCGTAGGACTTCTCATGCATTAGGCATGCGCGGGTAGTGCATTTGCCAAGCATCGTCTATGACGGACGTAGAGTGCGACAACTCGTTGCTCTTTCAATGCTCTCTCCATACATCACAATAACAAAAATTCGGAAGACTCATTGGAAGACTCAAGTTCACATGCAAATGCCAACGACTTCACCGCACAAAAACCTATTAGCTTGGCCCTTCTGTCACCAGAGGGCAATGGGCATGACAGTAACTAGTTAATTGTTGGAATCAAAAGCTTTGGCTAGGTGGCACCAGATGCTGCCGAATTAAAAAGGTTCAAACACATCCATCCGATAATCAGTTGACAAGCTTCACGGAAGAGCGCCATTTGAAAACGGTTCTTTCTCGTTGCCCGCGTACAAGCAGGTGCAGGCAGATGGTGTTTCTAGTGCCACCTAGAGTCACTGAATGTTCTCAGAGAACCAAATTCCATTCAGTCCGCTTGATGGAAGTCAATTCCTGCAGAATCCAGCTCTCATTGGCTGAATTAACCCGTGGTGGAAGTTATCAGGCGGCCATTTTGGAAATAGGCCCAAAACAACAAAAAATGGATATGAAGCGTTTCCGCGTTACGACGGCTACGGTGGGTACATAAGGGAGGGGAGCTCTGGGCAATAATGAGTTAAGACCGAACGGAAGGTGCATTGATTTATATCAAGTAGCCGCCAACCTAGATTGTCAAAGAAGATTGTCAGCTCGTTCGCTCGCTCCGGTTGCACTGGTGCTGTGTTTCAAACTCTGCACCTTAAATGCTAAACCCAATACTTGACTTCAATATGTTTACCGGCAAGGGAGAGAGACGAGACAGCAAGGAGCAAGTCACGCACCGCTCGGAATAAAGGAAAGAACTTTAATAAAAACAAACCAGCATCGCCACAGGCCAGGAACGTGGATTGAGGAGCTCATACGAGAATGAACACTACACTTGACACGCTTTGCTTCGACTGTGAAGGGCAGGGCCATGTTGGGTATCTGACTACTGTGCCACGACTCTGTTCTGAAGCTAAGCTTGGGAATTTCGGCACTCTGGGAACATTCAGTGACTCTAGCACCACCAGCGGCAACGCCTTCATGAGCAACGGAGCAGGGCCGCTTTCTTACGACGCTCTTTTAACGCAAACGTTTGTGGAAATTATGGTTACCATAAAAGGTGCAATATAATCACTTTCCACCGCAGGCAATGTGAATTCAACATTCCACCGGTTCTGCCGCTTCTGTCCATAGGGCGGGCTGATAGTGTAGCAAGCACCACAAGAAGGCATCAGGCATTCTAGGTAGCTTGTCAACTGACTTTGATTTAGCAATGTTGGTATGCACAGCAATGCGGTCCACAAAGCGGTCAGTGAGTGACACAATCCACAAACGAAGAGCTCGCTGCTACGTTCTGACTGGAGGGAAAGACGTTACTCGAGAGGCATGACTCCTGCACCGTATCCCAGTGTTCAAATTCAACTGCATGTAAGCGTGCGAGTGCAACACCAAAAATTGCCAAGACGCTATTACCTTTTCCAGCTACCCAGAAGTGGCATCCACCTGGTAATCTGGTGTGAACCTGCCACTACCAACCTCCAGAAGCTTCTCACACTCCTCAAGCCTAATGAGGCATTGCAAACCAACAAATAAAATGAGATGAATGCAGCTCGCGCAGTTCCAATTTTATAACGAAAAATACTTTAGTCTTATAGAGCAACATTGCCACAGAGCAGAACCTTGTCGAAACAAATTATCCCCCCCCCCCCCCCCCCTTCAATGTGGAATCGGCAAGAACTCTTAGTTGGATGACCCGCGAGCCGTCAACCCACCCTGCCAAGTGCTGCACTCTGACAGACATGGAAGCTTTCCACGGTAATTATAACTAGCCTCGTTTTCAAGTGTCGCGTGTTATTTTGCATTTGAATAAAGTTGCTTTATCAGCATATGTAACAGACATACTGGAACACTGGTGCAGACATATGACGTTACCTTCCTAAGTATCTCTTGTTATTTGTGCCCAAACACCACATTTCAGGGAAGAAGTCATAGACGAAGATGCAAAGGTTTAGAGGGAACCCCAATGTACAGGCAAACAAGTTGCGCAATCCCAAAGGTCAAGGAGTCTCGCATATCTGCAAGTCCAAAGGGAGCAAAAGAACCCGACAAACAGTGAAAAAGTACCATTGGAGGGAACACAATGGCCACCTCCATGGCACATCTCCTCTTGGAAGGTGCAGCCCCCTCCGGAAGATCGGTGGACAAACCTGGCACAGCTAATGCCAGAAGACACTTCCCGGTCTACGCAGTCAACGCTCCCAGACGAAACTTCATGCTCAGAGACCATGCTTTGCAACCAGACTCCCGGCGTGTGCCCAACAGCAGTCTGGCGAGAATGCCTCGCCCGTCCCACAGCTCAGCATGCAACCACCTCTCCTCGGAAGCAGAGCCAAGCGTGCAGTTAAGAACCCAGCGTAAAGAAGCGGGCTCGCCGCCACGCGGGAACCAGCCACGGGCATCTAACACACGGGCACTGCCAAGACACTCCCAGCAGTGCATGGTCCAAGGGTTCAGACAGAGCGTACACCTGCTGGCAAGACTGTGGCTTCTCATTTGAACTCGAAAAGCACTGCAGTTCAAAACCTGGCCTCTGAGAGAGCCAGTGGTGCCGACTTCGTCGCGAAGGGGCTGCCAGACGACAGCGCCAGAGCGTAACCGACATGTAGAAAGAAAGCCCGCGGGAGAGTCAAGGCGGTGGTCGGTGCGTGACACCTTCTGGGTTGCGCACGCCGGACTGACAGCCCCTCCGAGCAAAGGTCGGCGCCCGCGAATGGCGGCCGCGAGGGCACCCACCTCTCGGAGTCCTCCTCGGCGGTCGACTTGTTCTCGGGCACGGGTTCGGCGGGGTCCGCCTCGCCGGGGCCCGGGGCGTCGGTGACGACGGGCTGCTCGGTAATGGGCTGGAGCACGCCCAGCGGCGGGCCCTGGGCGCTCGACGACACCGGCAAGATGATGCCGTACAGGGGCCCGCCCTGTTGGCTGTTGGCCGGGAACGTCTGCCCGACGGGAATCTCGTACACGTGGGCCACAGCCTCGTTGGACGCGGCCGGTGGCAGGTCGGCGCCGCCCGCCGCCGCGCTTTCGCGCTCATCGCCGGGCTTGGCGTCGCCTTGCATGGCCGGCGGGTCCACAAAGTCCATGCACAGCCAACGTCCGCGACCGAACGGTTCCGAACTCACGATCTTAACCACTTTGAAGCGCCGCTGCCAGTGGTCCGGGCTTACGGGCACCTCGGGCGCGGCGCTGGCAGGCGTCCCCGCCACGATGGTCAGCGCTGCACCGACCGTCGTCGCGGCCGTCGGCGGTGGCAGCGATGGGACGCCCGATGACGCGTCGCCGGCCGTCGGCGCACCGGCGGCGGCGGGGGGCTCATCGGCCGCTCCGTTCTCGTCGGTCGGCGACAGCTGGTCGGCGTTCTTGGACACGTCGAGCACGTCCGAGCTCAGGTCCTCCGTGTGGCTCTCGTCCAGGTCGTCGGCACTTTCATCGCCTCCGTCGTTGCTCAGCCGGGAGCCCTGCACCGTGACACTGGTGATTTGAAAGGACGTCGGCTTCTTTTTGGGGCCCCCCGAGTCGACGGGCTGCACGGGCGTCCTGGGCTCGCCCGGGCTGCTGCCGTACATTGTGTTCGGCGTTATTAGCTCGACTTCGGCGCCGTACAATCTTCCGGTACTGTTCCCAATGCCATCACCGCAGATTTTGTCGGCCATGATTAGCTCCCGACAGAGGGAGTGTTTCTTTTCTTTTTTCGCCTCCGAGTGGATATTTCACAAATCCTACCTCGGACGAATTACTTCACGCTTTACAACGGTCATAATTATTAACGTCCATCGTAGGCAACCAGCATGCCTCAGAACTGGCGTTAAACATTCGAAAAAGCAATCAAACGTTGGGAGCTCCGTCGTGTTACTTTACCTAACCCACTTCTAGAGAAAAATGGCGACCATGTGTTGCGCAAAGCACCATGGGAAATAATTTACCGTAGTTGCCAGACCTTATGTTTATTTTCGCTAAAAGCTCGCGAAATACAGAAAATTGTAGTTCGCACTTTGGACTAGGGACCGTAGAACCCATGCTCCAGCTGGATGCACTATTCGGTGCCATTATTTTTTCCTCTTTCCCCGGATTTTTGAGTATTTTCGCACCAAGTCACTCCGTAGGCGTCTTTCTTCACCAAAGAGGAATGGACAAAGGGGCCAATGATCGCTTTGTGTTGACCGTACTCTTTCAAAATCATCCGAAAAAGCTTTTCTATTTTTTTTTTTTTTAAGGTGTTTACGGCGTTGACCCGAGCGCCAAGACGCCGAGACGGCATCAACGGCATCACGTCCAACGAACTCGTTGCTCACTTGAGTTGAGGCTGGTCAGGCCCAGGGCGACACTCCTGACCGCGTCACCGCAAGCTATGACGGCTATGACCGCAAGCGTGTAGTCTTGCAGCTTTCAACCCTTTGGCAGCTTCTCACAACTAGAGTCACTAAGCTTTATCGGCTTTATCACGGCTCTGAGCTTTATTTATAGCTTTATTTAGTGACGCTACTCACACCATACGCAATGACGACACTACTCTAGACACTACAAGCCCTGAAGCGAAAAATAGGGACTCTAACCAAAATTTAATAAACATTTACCCGACGTTTCGGGACCAGTTCGGTCCCTTGTTCACGGGTGAGTGACCTCACTTACCCGTGAACAAGGGAGGGAACTGGTTCCTTGTTCACGGGTTCACTCACCCTTGAACAAGGGACCGAACTGGTCCCGAAACGTCGGGTAAATGTTTACTAAATTTTTGGTTGGAGTCCCTACTTTTCACATCATGTCTACTCCTAACCAGGCAGAGGGCTGCCGAACGTTTAACCGTTTAACTACAAGCCGTACAAGATATCAGCGCCAATCCAATGTCATGTGAGTGTCACGTGATCGTCGAGATGATTTGTTCGCAGCGCTGGATTGGATAGGAATGCATGTAGCGTCCACTGCACTTGGCTGCACTCCAGTTTGTAAAGAAATTTAACGTGTACACAGGAGGGCAGCTTTGCGGAGCTCGACTTTCACCGAGGTGCAAACTTCTTTAGTTAATTTCATAAGGGAAATGTCGGGAAACAAACTCTCGTTAGAGATGTTTTCTGCAAACATCTCTTGTTAGAGATGTTTCCAGAAAACCGTTACTTCTGTCCTCCTTTGATTCAGAAATGCCTGTGGGTGAGAAGTCAAAGCAAGGGTATTCATGCTATTTTGCTGGTCATGAAGATTGGGAGACTCAACCCAATGAAGTAACAAAACACAAAACGAGTTGTATGTCTGCGCGTGTGTTTGTCCTTTTGTGTGTCAGTGTGTGTGATTGATCATGCTCGCCCAAGTTTCCATTTTATCAAAACAAGAGGCGCATAATACAAAACTAGAAAACGTATTCTCACTAATTATTACGCGTTGTTTTTTTTTTTTCATCACGGTTGGAATCAGCCGAATCAGCTGAACAAGGAAGGTACTCTTTTATTATCCTTGTAATAAAAAAAATAAAAAAAACATTTAAAGTTGCAATGTGCAGAAAAATAGAATGCATAATGGCGAGGTGGCGCAAGCTGCCGCCCAACAAAATATATCTCTCCATTTACATTTATGCCCCGTTTTTGCGGTTTCTGCTTGACGCAAAACAGGCCGAACCGCGGAACCGAGTGGAGTTGTCTGTGTCGAGCAGCGTTCGAGTCAGCTGCGCTGCGTTGGGCGGCCTCGTCCAAATCGTCGCGGAAGTGTATACGAAGCAAGGAAGGTCCGTGGTTTTTTCCTTCGCGGTCTTCGCTTTTCTTCGTTGGGTAACGGTAGCTGCGCCTTGGAATCGAAACGGCGTCTTCCTGTCACTGACGTGCCACATCCAAGTGCCGTTCTAACACAACGTGCTTTCTGTGAGTATTTGCCCTTTGCGTGCAGCTGGCACTACCGGCGTTTTTCTTTGAAATCCAGTGCGCACTACATAGGCCGACACGAACGCCAGATGGGCTGCGTACGACGACTAGGAGACGACCAGCGGTAGCTGCGAACGGGTAAAAACAAAATTCCTCCCGGCGATTTCTTTCTTTCTTCTGCAATCTTTTGACCCCGGTGCTCGCTTGATCCAGCCATATCACTGATCCAGCGGGTCTTTCCTTGAAGCTGCTCGCGTTTTCGTTCGCCGTGTAGGTCCTTCAGTATTTGGGCCGCAGAAGCGTCGCAGTCTGGATGTTTTGGCTCGCCGGCAGGGCTCTAGAATTACGCTCGCTATCTTATCCGGAGCCCAAGGGGCTGACTATTTCTGTTGCGAAATGTTTTGCCCTGATATCAGATGCCAGGCTTGACGTCACCCTTTCGTTCGTGACTCTTCCATCTGCAAGAATTGTTGTGGATCTTGAAGAGTTAAGGGGAAGCCCCTCTCACCTCTCTCCGCTTTAGCCGAGCGAACGCTGGAGGGGAGATTCAATTATTCCCCGCCTTACCACAGTTGATTTAGTCTAATAAATAAAGCAAATTTCTCCTTTAGAAAGTGCAACACTGAGAAAACACATTCACTGTTTTGCTATATAATTCTTTAATTCCATCGGGGGATTTGATTCTCGAACTCGTAGTGGCATAATTGACCACTGCTGCCACAGATTTCGTTGAAAATGTTGCAAATGTTTATTGTCACCACAATCCTTGAAGCAGAAAACGGGACACTCGGGTTTGGGGGTGAGCTAAAACAAACTGTGCTACTAGCCATTTGAGCATACAAACACACATTGTTCCAGAGTCTGACAAGTGACTCCCATCACTGTTTCGTTGTTACCATGACTAACATGTCAAATTCAGTAGTACTGCAAGAAAAGTCCGGCAGATGTAACGAGAGAAAGAGCTCAAAAGCATGCTGTATGGCAGGTAATATTTTCATAGTATGTTTATTTTAATAAAATTATGTCTAGGCAATAAATATTTTTTCTGCTTCCTTCTATTCGCTTAGTACTAATTTCTCAACTGGACGTCCCTGCAAAAATGGGACATGAGGCTTTTTCGAGGCAAAATCACCAGACAATGTAAATGAACCTCTAAAACGGGACTGTCCCACCCAATACGTGACATCTGGTCACCCTGCAAATGGACCATCATTGAGGCAGATTTACGGGGCAACAAGACCGCCTTTTTATGTTATCCGAGCAATAACGATGGTAAATTGCAATATATTGCATTTTTATGCATTGAATTCCTCGTGAAAATATTCTGTCACGTTTGTCCAAATGTGTGCCAATAGTAGTTACACTGACAGGGTATCTATGCTGGCCAAGATTTAATTTGTTTGTGACATATGAGAGCCCAACTACCCAGAACACAATTTGCGGCTCGAAATTCGGTTTCTTTCCGCCCGAAAACCGGCGATCGAGAACTGGCCTGTTTCAGTTGCGCTCATTCTCTTCTCTATGGTCACGTGCCGTTTTCTGCGGTTTAGACACAACCATCAAGTATAATCAAAGTCGTCTGTCATTGAAGGCACACACTCAGTATTAAAAATAGAAAGAAAAAATATGAAACCTATTTTTTGGGCCTCTAACAAACTCTAAATATGTTGATTGAAAAAAAAAAAGTTGCACAGACAATCGGAAGCATTCTGTTCAATCACTGCGTAATTCTCAACATGGCGTCGTATCGCATATCGTGGAACTCGCGTTGCTTGATGGCGATGGCGGCAGACGACGGGCGTGGGACCTCTACTTCAGAACTGTTGTTTGCAGTCGCGGCGAATCAGTCTTCCTTTGAAAGAGAAATTTTGGACCGTGGTGAGGATTGCGCTCCCTAGTTCCTGGATGGTTGGCTTGAGATGAAAGGTGCTTGCTTACACCTTCCTAATAGGGTTGCCACCTTTCGCCGAAAAAAAAAACAACCTACCCTTTGACAGGGGGGGAAGGGGGGGGGGGTAAATTTTTAATTCTAGGAGATTGAATTTGTGTTGAAAGAAGGATGCCATGTTCGTCTTTGACAGGCAGTGCAATTTATTGTAACGAATGATTTCCTAGAGAGGAATTAATTTAATGTACATGTACAGAAATACACAGCGCTGAGCTCAATACTATGTGCAACTATATAGCCTTTTTACTGAAAAATAAAGACATTTCTAACTAACTTGCCGTGCACAGCAGATGCATGGAGAACCAACTAGTCTGCTGGTTGGCACGCACGCCACCAAGTAACCCCAGCTGCGAGAGCCGCGCATCCCTTCCTAGACATCGTCGGTGCGTGTCGGGCTTGGCACTCGAGCAATTAACTTTGAATATCCTCTTATGCTTGCGCGAAGCTTTCCGAAGGGGAACGAATAGCGAGAATCAAAGAAAAACAACTATGGAGGTCTGAAGGGAAGGAAAGGTTACTTTTGAGACACAGGCTGCCAACAAAGTAACAACAGCTGCGAGAGACGCTCAGCTCTTCCTAGACATCGTCGGCGCGTTTCTCTGGTCTTGACACTTAAACAATTAAATGGAGAATGAAAAGGGAGGGGAAAAAACAACGAAGATCTAAAGTAACAACAACAATATTACACCATGTGTAGTGAAAGGGGAAAGCTTGGGGAAAGTGCATACGCCGCCCGTCACAGTGGACCGATGAAGCACTGTGTCCTTGTCAAGATGCCTACAATCGTTAAGAAATACAACACCTCCCAGAAGGCTCAGCTATCGGGAGGGCCTGTCGCCGAGTCACCCGCCGGCGTCTTGCTTGTTCTCGCTTTCCCTCATTTTCTTTCCACCGCGTTCCCGGTGGTCGTTTCGGTTTTTGTTGACTGTACCCCTCTTCCCCCCCCCTGTCTCGGGGAGTTCTCCTGCCGCGCTCACCCGCATACTTTCTCTAATCACGTGTCCTCACGGTGTTTGTGTAATTTTATACTTTTTTTTTCATCAACAAATATTTATCGACGTAGTTATTGAATTGTCGCTTAAAAAAATGCCAGAAAAATAAGCTAAAAGCAATCGCGCTTCGATGGTTGTCAGAAAATTGGCCAATGACGGCCGGTCTTACGTACAGACCGGGAACCAGCCTGCTGTCTAAGAAACTGGCCGGGCCAGTCAAAAACCGGGCAGGTGGCAACCCTACTTCTTGACGAGGAGGTATGACGTACGGCTCCCATATCGCCTGTATTTCCCAAATTTAGAATTACTTTCACTTCTCAGTCCCAACCTCATACTGCTGTTCTATGATGATCATCCAGACGACAGTCATTTTGATAAAAACTAGTGCACCTATAGATAGCAAAAGTTGCAAATATATTTGTATGATCGGTGTGGAAAAACCTCACCGAAAAGCTTGCATATTTCTATCACACTTGTAATATATGTGCAGGCGAGAGCAAGTTTCAATATTCTCATCAGAAAATCAAAGGAGAAATCAGACTTCCCTGGCATATTTCTGCAGATAACGTCCATACCTATAGAAAAAAAAAGTATTTGTCTTACTTTTGTTTCGGACTTGTGGACGAAAATGTTTTGGTTGGAAGACGCGACCTATACACAAGAAAATACTGCAGTGGAAAATTTCCCCACCCAATTTAGCGGGAATTCAGCAAGAATGCAGCCGTTCCAAACTACACTTGAATCGCAAAACATGCATGGTAACTGTCGGGCTACAGACAGACACAGCTGGTTTATCCTTGTTACATTGGCATTCCCTCCGTTACAAAACCGCATCATGCAAAATACCCTTTGACGTTGCCCTTCCCTGGAAAAGAAAGAGAACAGGTGGTATTCTGTGACATCAACCTCCCCACGGGAACCAAAAAGCAGATTTTTCATGTTCGTGGCAAAACAAGAGCAGAGCAAGTACACATTTCATGGGCAACATTGAATGGATATCATGTGTGATGGTATGATGGCAGCAAAGCAAAACTGGACATGAACGCAATCCACTGCGTTAACCAGGTATTGGACAAGGCTTCGTAATTAACCATTTTCAGAAGTCAGTCAAGCAACATTGGTGGTCCATCCAGATGGAAATAAGTAAGCCAACTTATACTAGGAATGTTCTACGCAGAGCCAGTGTACTGTTAACAGATAGCCGATATAGGTTAAAGGAGCTGATTAAGGTCTGTGGAAATGAAGAAGATGCCCTGGGCCTAAAATTCAGTAGTGGCAAGTTGGGAGTAATGGTTTATAACGTTGAGAAGGGGGACCCACTGGAAATTTCAGACGTTTTGATAGAACATGTAGAGAAGTATAAATGTCCAGGGGAAAACATTACGTAGAAGAACAGGAAGAAAATATGCTAAAGAAAAGAAAAAGGAATACCGCAATTATGAAGCATTAAACACTCTGGAATCACAACAGATATGAAATTGTTAGGAGAATATGGAAAGGAGTCATGATGCCGGGGCTGTCCTTTGGCAATGCGGTATTATGCATGAAATCTGTGGTTCAGTCGGGCTGGAGACCCGGCAGAGGTATTGCAGAAGGGTTTGGATTTGGGCTAGTTGGTTGAACATGTTTAGGGGTTAGAAGCGCTTAAAAACGACGGACGAGTAGGAGAGACACACACCACAGAGCGCTCTGTGGTGTGTGTCTCTCCTACTCGTCCGTCGTTTTTTAGCGCTTCTAACCCCTAAACCCGGCAGAGGAGCATGGGCAGACTGGCACTGGAGATACATGGGAATACCTAAAATGAAGGAGTGCAGGGAGACCTGGGCTGGGCATCTTTCGAGGCTAGAGAGGCGATCAGTAAGTTGAAATTTAAACATAGGCTAGAAACAATTTAGGAGGCACGATGGGTGAGAAAGGAATATAAGCATTTATACATGAAAAGCCTGAACACTAAATGGGCAAACCGAACCCAATAACTGAAATTTAAATACCAACAGTCAAGTGTTGGGACGGAGCAGACTAAAACTCTCTCAAAGAGAAAGTAAAAGAAGCCGAGAGAGAGATGCGGGAGGAAAGCAGGGAAAATCAGCTCTATGAATACATGGCTTGTATTGACATTACATCGCATACTTTTGACCACCTTGTAAGAAGAGGAGAGGGAAGCTGCTTTTATAAGAATTTTGAGTGACTGGTTTATC